TGAGTCACATACACAATGTCAAATTCACTCAAAAGCATTTGCCATTTAGCCAGCTTCCCGGTCGGCATTGCTTTCTGGAAAATATACTTCAATGGGTCCATCCTGGAAATAAGGTATGTGGTATAAGAAGACAAATAATGTCTCAACTTCTGAGCAATCCATGTCAAAGCACAACATGTTCTCTCTAAAAGAGTGTAACGAGCCTCATATGGGGTGAACTTTTTGCTCAAGTAATAAATGGCTCGCTCCTTCTTCCCAGTCTCATCATGTTGACCGAGCACACATCCCATGCGTTATCCGAAACCGATAAATATAGCAATAATGGACTCCCTTCTTATGGAGGGACCAACACCGGTGGATTGGACAAATAGTTCTTGATGGCATCAAAATCAGTTTGACATTCTCCGGTCCACTTGGTCGAGGCATCTTTTTTCAATAACTTAAAGATGGGCTCACACACCACGGTGGAATGAGCTATGAATCGGCTGATGTAGTTCAACCTTCCCAGAAAACTCATCACCTCTTTCTTGGTCTTCGGAGGAGGTAATTCTTGATCGCCTTGATCTTGGAAGGGTCAAGTTCAAAGCCCCTTTTGCTGACTATAAATCCCAACAACTTGCCAGCTGGCACTCCAAAAGCACTTTTGGAGGGATTTAACTTCAAATTATATCGGCGTAGACGATCAAAGAATTTCTTCAAGTGAGTCAAATGATATGAACTCTCGCGGGACTTGATTATGACATCATCTACGTAAACCTCGATCTCCTTGTGAATCATATCGTGAAAAATGGTCTTCATAGCCCTCATGTAAGTAGCACCGTCATTTTTGAGACCAAACGACATCACCCGATAATGATATACACCCCAAGGCATGATGGAAGCTGTCTTTTCTGCATCTTCTTCGTCCATCAGGATCTGGTGGTAACCCGCTTAACAATCCACAAATGACTGCATCTCATGTTTAGCACAGTTATCAATAAGGATGTGAATGTTTGGCAATGGAAAATTATCTTTCGGGCTAGCTTTGTTGAGATCTCTATAGTCAACACCAATTCTGATTTTTCCGTCTTTCTTGGTAACCGGAACAACGTTGGCTAACCAAGTCGGATATTGCGTCACTTCCACTACTTGAGACTCGATATGTTTTGTAATCTCCTCTTTGATCTTCAAACTCAACTCAGGCTTGAACTTTCGAGTCTTTTGTTTTACTGGACTGAAATCTGGATTGATCGGCAACTTGTGGGACACCATATTCGTACTCAGCCCTGGCATGTCTTTATAAGACCAGGCAAATACATCAATGTACTCCTTGAGCAAATGAACAAGGTCTCTTCTTTGGGCTTCAGTCAGATGGACACTGATTCTGACTTCTTTGACACATTCCTCATCTCCGAGATTCACAGTTTCAGTTTCTTCAAGATTTGGCTTGTGTTGATTCTCAAATTGTTGAAACTCCTCAGCAACATGTTGGTTACCTCAGTTTCTTCTTCATATTCCTCACACTCATCATCACCTGCCTCATTTCGTTCACTCGGTTCATGACATGACATGACATTGGAAGGTTTTAAATTAATATTACTGAAATCATAAACAAACAAAGTTAGGAAAGTAAAATATAAAAAGATAAGTAAACAAACAAATTTTGATAAAAGAAACTTTTAATTTAAATTGAAAGACAAGCACAAACTTTGGCCATGGCCGAGGGCCATTTTGCCTTTTAAAACATCACAAGGGAATTTAAAAGCTTCAAACAAATAACAATTGCATAAAGGGTGGGTCTCGGGCCTCTTCCGGACTACCACCGATTTTAAAACAACAAAATGCATGTCCTTTCTACCCAGATGAGAGGGAAATCAGGAGTGGTGTGGAGGTCCAGTTCTGCAATCGCTCATCAGGTTCTGCATCACGGATGCCTGATGTCCCAGCCTCTTCTTCGATGACCGCATCAATCTCCTCAAAAAGGCCCCAGATTCCTTCCCCGAGACCACCATCGTTGACATTTTCTCTTACTGGAAATGACTGGTACAGATGAGGAATTGGCCTGGCCAATGCTTGATCAATACTCTTGTTCTTCATCTCTGCTTCATTGGTATCCGTGGGGACATACCCCAAACCAAACTTTGCTCCTTTGGAGGGAATTTGGATAGGCTCGATAATTCCTTGAAAGTGCTTCCCCAATCCAAAACCTGGTTCGAAACCATTCTGGAGCATGACGGTAGCAATCATCTTGTACACGATAGGCATAGGAGGCTGTGGAGCTAAGTGATCACCGGTGGCATTTACTAGCTCCACCGTGTAGAAATCACAACCTTGAGAGACATCATTAACGATCGGTGCATACCCATTGGAATGGCTCCCTTCACCATAAATGACCAATTCCTGGTCCTTCCAAACAAACTTCATTAGTAGGTAAAGGGTAGACGGCACATCCCCAACCATATGAATGAACGGTCTTCCCAGAAGCAGGTTGTAACTGGTGTTGATATCCAACACCTGGAACTCGACGTTGAATTCCGCAGAACCCAGCTGAATATCCAAGTTCACCGCACCTAGTGTGTCTCTTTGCACTCCATCAAAAGCCCTCACATTGACTTGGTTCTGGTGAAGCTTTCCCAAATCAAATTTTAGCTGCCTCAGAGTCGAAAGTGGGAAAATATTAAGACTGGATCCATCATCGACCAAGACGCGATTTATTATCTTGTCTCGACACATAGTGGTGACGTGCAGAGCTTTGTTGTGCATCTTGTCTTCAAAGGGCAGCTCTTCGTCACAAAAACTAATTTGATGTCCTCGGATGACCTAGTTTATCATGGCTGCTAGATTGTCACTGTTGGTACCCACGGGCACATAAGTATTATCCAAAGTCCTCATCAGAGCTTGTCTATGCAGTTGTGAACTCATCAACAAAGCCCATACAGAAATCTGAGTTGGTGTCTTCTCCAAATGCTTCACAATTGAATAATCTTTCGGCTGCATTTTTCTCCAGAACTCCTCGGCCTCGGCTTCACTGATCGGCCTTTTGTTGGTCTTTCTTCTGCCCTCCTTGAGCTAACTCTTCCGGTGTGTAGCACCTGCCGGATCTGGTCATACCCTGGGTAACAGCCGTTTCAATCACAAACTTTGGTTGGGCAAGTATTTTCTCGTGGCATCAAGGCAACAGCCTTCTCGGGTGTCAGAATCACAAACTCTTTCTTCTCTCTGATGCTCAACGAAGCTACACCCCTTTCCAGTTCATCAGGAGCAATCGGAACTATTGCCTTCGTCACGCACCAGTCATTATCTGTCTCTATCGTATTGATAGTGGCGCCTCCATGATTTGGCAAAGGATTACTATTGACATTGGGCGCTACTGTTTAAAGAGAGACCACATTCTGGTCAATCAGGTCTTGGATCTTATAGTTCAGGTTGATGCAGTCCTCGGTATCATGTCTAACACTGTTGGAGTGGTACGAACACCTTTGATCAGGTCTGTAAAACTTTGAGCTAGTGTTAACCGGCTTGGGCCCCACTGGATGAATGTATCCTGCCGCAGTTAATTGCTCGAACAACTTTGTTCGGCTTTCAATGAGTGGAGTGAAAATTCTGGCGGGCTTCTTCTCAAATCTAGGACGGGGGGGATCGTAATTGCCTTGTGAAGGAGGAGGCATTTGACGATAATTTGGAGTGTTTGGACGGGGGGTTTGATATCCGGGATATGAGTTGGTTTGGTAGTTTGGTTGTGGAGCTTGGTAATTCGAGGGGGTATTTTGGTATAGTGGAGCTGGGGTTTGGTACATTGGGGAAGGCGTTTGGTAATTTGTCTGAATGTTGGCACAGTTGGGGGCGGTATTTCGGTAGTGATGAGATGGAGTCTGGTAAACTGTAGGTGGACTTTGGTAGATAGTAGGGGGAGTTTGGTAGCTAGGAGGGGGAGTATTTTGATAACTGGGGGAAGGGTACTATGGTAATCATCCGGTGCATAATAAGCCGGGTACGAACTCTGTGAAGGTCGAGAACGACCTTGGTATGATAAGGATTTCCTTGGGGTCTTCTTCCCCTCATAAGAGATAGAGGACACATCCTCTCTTTT